GTGCAAGACGTGCGTCGATGTAATCTGCCTAACGTTTACTTCAAGCTTGTCATCATGACTCATTTGTTAACTGTTGTCATATTTACGATATTGTTGAATTAACGGATGACCTGAAAATTTGAGAAAAACTAATTTTTGGTATCGTACAGGGAAATTACGTAAACAAAGATAAGATACTTCCTGTAAGTATCCTGTATTTTATCTATAGAAGATAAATTTCAATGTTTGATTATGATCAAATTGTTAAAACAATAATTTCGGTAAGCACTAATCATACAACTGAAATTATCTTCGAAAGTATGTACTGAATGCATTGAAGTATTATTTGAATAATACATGGACAAGTACAATTCTATGAAATCCAGAAATTATCGCTAACCCTATTTTGAAAGAAATGGAACTACGCATACATGTGATGTAATTGGCTGTTACGTTTCATTGAGTGTTGTTGTCTGTGGATCGGACTAGCTGAATGTCAACTAATTGTGAATTTGTGACTAATAACATTCATGGTCAAGTGAAATTTTAACTGCCCTACGAGAATAGACAAATTGAGAGAAAAGAAATCAAAATAGTGATTCATGAAAACGATGCACGTATTGGATTGTTTATCGAAACACAACCAGGAGCTCAAAGTTTTACTAAACATGTTTGTAGGTGAACGCATTGCATCATTGTTTTTTCAATTAAATGTACATTGGCAAAACAAAAATTATTGCGCATCAACCACACAATTAACTTTACAAAAGGAACATTTGAGTACGTTAATAAATTGCAAAAGATGCATACCGTATTCCAGTATAATTATTATTCTTTTGTGCTATCTAAAACACAGCAACAAAAAAGGAAGAACGGGAATATACAAATTTCATAAACTTCTGAGAGATAAAAGTTTGTAGCAGTCTGTCAGTAGCTGATGGAAAATGTTTTTTTTTTTTTGTAAAAGATTTCCAAATTATCATTTTGAATTGATATCGGTTTTTGAATTTCATAAACTACAGCCACTAATTGATCATAGAAGACTTAACAATCATCTTCTGTGTGGGCTGGGTAAGTAACCTTCTTTAGCGTATCAATAGTTCAAAGTTTAATAATAACATCGAATTCTCTACAGATATTACATTGTTATCACTTCAGAGTCACATAAACTGCTAGTGCAGCCAGAAATTTACCACGAAGTTAAGTAATTGAAACATGAATTTAAAAGTACATGACCGGATAGAAATTGACCCGGGCCATCCGACTTTATATTAGTTTAATTAGTTATACATGTGCAGCGGATACGTTGGAGTGGTCCTTATTTAAGAAACGTATGATGTGTGAAATTTATCTCTAAAACTATTAAAAAAATATTTTATGAAGTACATAAATTACTTTGTTACTACACATCAACACATTTTGGATTTCAAACGGACACTGGATGTTCTGAGATGCGCTTCACAACATGTTGTTTGTTCTCTGCATCAATCAAAGCAAAGTACAAATAATTCGCGGTTGAAACCATGAGCAGACAAGCCGTCTGAAGTTGGAAAGAGCATTGAGTCATTTCGATAAACTGAGAGAATCTGAAATGGTCAAGTACAAAACTTTAAAAACAATTGGTTTGTTTATCGATAGCAAATACATTCAGGAAGCTAAAGAATAATACTAAACATGTTTGCCGGTAAAATCATTGCATCATTGTTATTCTCAAGTGATCAATTAGGCATGGGAATGACATGTTCTATACCTGGTGCTGGTAGCTGTGGAACAGTTGAACAGAACATTGGGTATTTCACAATTTTGCTCCATGAAACACGGCTTTGTTCAAACGCATACGTACCCTTTTGCTCCCGAAAATTTTCACAGCAAAAGCATACTCTTCATAACATTTTCATATGCTGTTCTACAAGTACAGGCATTCACTCGTGTAGTTGCAGATTTGACAAGTTTGTCTCAATATCCGATTCATCCGCTTTGATGATCCTTGGAAATTTTCAATTAAAAACTTGTTTTGCCAAATGAAATTGTACGTCAAACTAATTTGAACTTGACTCGTACATGTGGCCTATTCAATTTTCCAACGCCCGAAGGGTGACGCGGTTCCACAGAACACTCAATGACGAACATTGATGTTTATTGTCAACTGACGAAATACATCATTTATGGGTATCTAACATGCCATTACTTCAATACCCTACGTGTTTTCGATAAAACGGTGGCAGGGCCGGCCGAGTGTCGGTATATGTTAGCAAACCAATATTAAATAGTGAGTCATCGCCGGTAATCAGCATGAACTACACCTGAGGTGTTCAGTCTTGTAATGTTTTTGCAGACATGCCGTCTAGTTACCGGTAGTTGAAACTTTTTTCGTTTTGTTCGTATCTCTAATACTTGTCTAATCCCTTTGTTTATTGGATGCTTGTCTTCAGACGTAATTGCAAATAAGTGGTACGGTATGTAATGCTACTTGCCGTTATACAATGAAATGTCTTGGTTCTCATGGAAGTCACCCTTTTGCGCAATCCAGTTCTTATATCAATACTTAAATCAAAAAAATTCGTAGCGATCACTTGCGAAGTGATTGGAATTTTGCTTTCAATATTTTTAGAAATTAATTAATAATTCTAACATGATGTGCATGATGACATGTACACCACACCCTGCGTAGGCTGAGAGGTCAATCTTTGAAGATTTTTCTCAGAACCTGTTTAATTTACCACGCTATTCTTTGTCGGGTAACAAATGATGTTGTGTTTTTGTTTGAAAAAGTTATATCAATAGTTCAAAGTTTATTACTAATAAAAACAAAAAATTCGTTACGATTTCACGACGTTATCACCTTGATGTCAAAATGAATGTACGGATCCAACATGAAATTTGAAATATATTTTAAAGACCTTTCTCTTGCATTTGTTAACATATGCGAAATTAAATTTTGAGAAAGTATTTGATCAAAATTCAACAGTTTAGCCCTCTATGTGCCAAACCTCATTAAGTAAGGGAAATTTCTATTTTTTTACGAAATAAGAAATATGGGAAAAAATGACTTCATTATTTGACTTATTTTTGCGTTTCCATGCTTATAGCAGCCTAATTTCACCATCAGCCAGCAATGAAGAAGTAAAATACCTATCAAATGAATAAATATTTAATTGAATTAACATTTAATACTCTCTTGCTCTTATATTTGGCACGGTAGAAAATTTCGCCACAAGGTAATGATAATGAAATGCGTCTGAAACTCCGCATTTTTATCTTCTAAAACGTGGTATTAGTCAGTTATGAACTTTGTAAGCTGGTGCAAATGATTTAACAGTCGGCTTATTATTCTGCGTAGGTGTTCTTCATTTGTTTTGTATGACCTTGTAGTAAGCTCAAACGACTGACCTGAGTAGTTGTACAAACAAAAATATGGTTGGAAAGTGATCTTTAAGTAATCTTTAAATTATTGCTTTCGATTCAACGCGTGAAGAATCTGGCAGTACCACCACCGGACAATTGCCCGATCTATATTCTCTGGAGAATTATATTACTAGGCCAATATTTTGGTTAATGCAAAGTAAAACATAAAAATAATTAGGTCTATTTAAATCTTCATATTACAAAATTTCCAAAAGCTTCGTGACTATGGGCTTAGGGGCCGATTTCTGAACGTACACGATTGTAACGATTTATGAATGAGAATTTTTAAGCTAGATTGCTCAACATAATAATGAGAAAAAACGAGCCAATACACCCCGTTTGCCACGACTTTTGGGATCAATACTTTGCTAGCATAACACCCAGCGTCTATAAAAGTTTACTACGGATGTTATTTGTAGAAGTAAAACATATGACAAATATTCGTATCACACAACGATATCCAATGCAGCAGTTCTAATAATCAAAATATTCTATCGGAATCACGGTTTAATGCAAATTTTATTGAGTTATTGATGTATTGAATTTTTCGTAATGTACGTAAGACAAAACTAAAAATATACCAGCAATTGACATTCATTTTAAACGTAGTAGGGTGAATAAACAAAATTTCCTGTTCTCGCCTGTGGATAAAAGGTAGAACAAATATTGTTACGTATTTGCACAATCATCCCAGTAATTTTCAACGTTCGAAACAACGATCATTATTGTGTATAAATGTGTTAATTAGTTCTTCTTTACATTATACATATTTGCTCTTAGCGAGGAAATGTCGGGTCAAGATACTTGGACAAGTGTACATTGAATTGCTTTGTTGTTCAAAAACAGAACTTCTAAACTACGTAGAAATATAAGTCAGGAAAATCTTTGATAAAATTCTTTTATGGACTACTTTGGAGGATGACAAATAAGAAAACCTGATAAAATAGCTGATTATATTGATAATAATTTTTCAACTTTGTTAGGCAGGGATCGCTATATTATACATTATAAACAAAAGCACAAACAAAGAAGTAATTTACCATCAATAAATCAACGTCATGACTATAGATTAAAATAAAAGACGTTCAATATAAATATCTAAAATTGCATGGGTATAGATGACCAGCATATTTCTATTTCGAGACAATTTTTCAAAGTTATCATTGGTGCAATTTCGTTTTGCTATAATTTTGTTCGGTAGTCAACCACACCCAATTATGATGCCAAGTCAATTTTCATATTCAGCCTCCGTTGACATAAGCACTTGGTGATGAACTGCACCCCGTAAAGTGGAAGATTAATTTCCCCTGAATTCAAAGATGTGAATATTATTCTTTCAGTGCCTTCCGGCGTATGATAAGAAAATCAATCAAATTGTTGCGACATATATACAATTGTCTTCATCGATTGTTCGTTAGCGACAAGACGCGAAATTAAAGTTTGTTTTGAAGGTGCCAAAATTCAATCTTGAAGTCTTTGAGGGATATACTTAATCTGATCGTAATTCATGTAGATAAATCGGCAGCTGACGTCACAGGATAGCGCTAATTAGACTAAGGGGCATTGGAAGTTAGAGCTGTTCGGTCAGTCATTAAGCGACCAAAAGCTGTAAAATCTGACAGTCTTCTAGAATCTATTCAGGTCTAAGCAGCCCATTTCTTAGAGTTGACGTCAGTAAACATATGCCAGATTTAACTTGATAGTGAGACTTGAAGTTGAGTAAAATTGTATAGAGGTGTCAAATGAGGTAGCGTGTTTTATGTCTTTCTTATCGGTTTTCTGCAACGTTTTGTAACATGTTCGAAAATTCGTAATGAGTGTAAGTATTTTTTATAGATTATATCTATTTGCTATAGAATAATAATCATTTTATATCATGTATTGTCAGTACAACATTTCACAGTTTTGTTTTCATTACTAATTACTGCCCCGGGCAAGTTTCCAAGTCATTGTTTGGATTTTCGTGTCATTGTTGATAACTTTTCCAATCGACCTCGATCACGTTTGACCATGGAAAACAAGCGTGGTTGTATTCATTATAGAGGGAGAAACTTGCTTACAGTTGGCTCACAAACTTTTGCGAATGCAGCGTTATTCTGAAATAATTTGAAGAGCATTGCATTGACATACTATTAACATTGGATGGTCAAATGACGCTGCTATTCAACAGTAAATAGTGGGCCAATTCCGTAGTTGGCTAGCTACACAGCAATCATGCCTAGCAATAACGACGGTTAACGCTTCATAATATTCAATATATATATATATATGGCTTTGGTTAATTATTATGGCTATTTGAATCGTGTTGCCGAATGTTTATAACAACAAAGGTGTAGAATCCGATTCGAAAAAATAGAATATTTAATAAAACTCTCGATTGACTATGATCTAATTTCGTGAAATATCGGGTCGAAATTTTTAGACTAGTCATATTTTAATTCTACGTATTTGTATTACCGAGAAATTGAAATATTATTTTAAATCCGTGGTGTTTTTAAAATTTCTTCATCCGGCTTGTTTTAAATAAAAGGATTCAATTTCAATATTTGAGTAGCGATTTTATATTAAAACATAACCACCGGTTACCTCTTTGAATCAAGTGTTAACACAATACTTTTTGCAACGCTATTGAAAAATCGTTGAACTTGGCTTCAAAAATAACCTAGTAAAATAGCATTGGTCAGTGTCAAATAGTTAACTGTCCCTTCCATCAAATAAATTGCCCCTGGATTCGTGCCTAAAATTTTAAATTTATTTTAAATTTTGAGAAAGTATTTGATCAAAATTCAGCAGTTTAGCCCTCTATTTGTCAAACCTCATTAAGTAAGGGAAATCTCTATTTTCTACTAAAATTATTTTTAGTTCTAGCCAAACTTGACTCGGCTGACAACTTCATCTCTATTCTAAAAAATAAACCTAATCCATATATTACCAAGTATTCAAACTCAGATAATGATACTGATACAACTTTTACAAAAAGTTACTTTTACTGATACAAAAATGCCATCTTCTTCATGTACGTCGCGTTTTATTTATTATCCTGAATTTTTTTTTTTTCCAAGTATCCTTTTGCTAGCTTGAGGTGTATCCATAATTGGATCAAATTGAAAACAAAAAAAATTTAATTTTCCAAATCTTCTTTCAGAAAGTTGTCGTTTTCTGTGTGAATAATTAATTTCACTTTAAAAGGTTAGAGAAATGTATTACCTACATTTAGATAATAAAAAAACGTACAAAATACTACAATTATTGTTAAGCGTTCGAGGGCCGCATTGGAAGCGCTCGGGGGGCGCATACGGCCCGCGGGCAGCAAGTTTGACATCCCTGTCTTAAATAATGCTGTAATTTGGCAAAGTATCGTCACGTAATATTTTTCTCATTAAAAGATTCAACCTGTGGGCCCAGTTTAAACTCGATTAAAATTTTTCTCTTTACTCCGGAGTTTAATATGTATTTTTACTTAGCTCTACTCGCATTTTCTGCGTTAGGGTTAATGACACACCTCCACCCACTTTTGCTTTTTCTTCCGTTTATCTTTAAGAAACAACAATTACCTATAGCTAACAACATCTACTTTAAACTAAACTAGAAGTACAAAGTTCAAAGGTCGTCTCTAGAACTATGTTTCATAGATTTAAATTGAATAATTAAATAGAATTAGATAGAAAATTAACGACTTGCTCGTTGTACATTTCAATGAGGTTTTAATTATATTTTAGGATAGTCGTACCTCCTTTACACAATCCTAGAATTGGTTCCGTTTCGAACAATATATAAGACTTTGTCAATCAAATCCAAAGTGCATCAACTTTAAGTTACGCATCCGTTTCAGGAAAAATTAGTTTTAAGGGGAAATATTCTGCAAATTATGCTTTCAACGTAAACTGAGATAGACTAGAATTAATAACCGTACTGATCATTTTCTCAAAGGGGTCAGGTGCAATACTGCAAAGGTGAACACAATCAATTGCCTAATGTACAGGAGAATTTGTTTCCAAGTTGAGCACCAAAAATAATTGTATCTCATTGGGCAATTACGTTCAGTTGGTGTGTGTAGCACGCTTTGGGTAGTCTATATTTATTTGATTTTTGTATATGGTACGGAAAGTTTAACACCGCATTATGAAATATCAAATGAGTTTTCGTTTGATTTGTGCTACTCGTAAAATTATCAATAAGATATTTATATTCGGATAAAATTTTAACACCTTGACAGTTTTATTGCCCTCTACGCATATGTCATGTTTCTTTCAAACGAGAAAACACTATAGCATATAAAATTTTGGGGTTATCAAAGTCTAGTTTTTTAGTCCAAGCCCACCATAGGCGTCCATGAAACGGCCGAAATAATCAGGAATCCTATAGCAAGCCTATGGCGGGAGTTTCATAGATCGATTTCAGCATCGTACGATATGACATATATATATATTTACATTTCCACTATTATGATTAAATAAAACATCCGTAGATGTAGAACCACATCCATTTAAAAATCACCAATGTTCTAATTACATTGCTCATCGTTCCCAATTTTATTTATTTGAGAAAATAACGATGACCTCACTATCCTTCAACAACCTGTTAGAATCTGACCTCGGACGACATCGTTTGTGTCATGAGGTGATGTAATTATCCGGGATTATTTATCTCCAATGATATTAATCATATGGTTTCATAACAATGCCTTTCCTTCGTTTAATAATATTTTTGTTTTTGACCTATGTCACTTACGTTCTTTTCTTTTTACAGTATTTTCTCGTTGATAGTTTGCTAAAGAGAAAAAGTTTCGGCAGAAAAAGAATTACAATATAGCTTCCGTTTTTAAGTGAAACTTTAACAAAATGTCGCTCACAGATTCAGTTTATTGATAGAAACAATTAGTTTGTCGAGAAAAACAGCAGAATTTGAGTATATATATTGGATAATTGAAGAGTATCGCATCTCCAGTCTTGGAATTACAACAAACGTGAAGTAGGTCCTATGCTATTAATGAGGACGATTTTTCTACAACAAAAAGCAAAATATATACACAAAAAATGGGAAACAAGTACATGAAGCACGCATTTGCTTTTATAATGAAAGCTATTGTGTATATCATTCTTGGTCCTGCTATCTTGATATATTATGGATTTCTACGATGCATTCTTGCTTTGCAAATACGAAGACTTGAAATGAAAGGATGCAATGACACGCAAGGTTAAATTTTTTTTCATTTGAAACTATATAACTAAATATTGAAATAAAATCAAACATCAAGTGGGAAATTATTTTTGAGTACTTCATTTAGATTTATTGGTATATTACATGTAGTGTTATTTGGATATTGTATTGTTTATAATTATTTATATTGTGATTACTTTTATGAATATTTTAATTTACCTGAATTTAATGAAATAACGAGATTGCTATTAGGCTAGTTCATATATCAAAAATAGTTGTAAAAGTGGTAAAGCGTTCCAAAAAGTTTTATTTTTAATTTAACCTAGTATCTATATGTCAATATCATTCGAGTATGGCTTGTATTAAATAGCACGTTCATGCTTTCATATTGAAAAATAATTCTTTGAAACAAGGTTACCATAGCTGCTAAAATTTGAAAAAAATTCTAGTATTAGAAATGAAAGAGTGAAAAACAATTACATTTTTTCAAAAAGTAATGACGTTCATCTCTCAACTATTCGACGTATTTTAATTTTATTTTAGGTTCTCTCGGTCGATTTAGGCAAAGCACAATCATTGAACTCACTGATGTATCAAATGCAGAAAAGCTAGATTTCAAGAAAAATCGATCAATGACATACATCGATCAGGTCACTTCTGGAACGTTGTGGGAAATTTCTAGGTTCGCATGTGGGCGCCAAACAATTCCTTTAGTCTCGAACCACGTGCTGCACCACGCTTTGTTCAATTCACCATTCAGTTACGGACTAGTAAAAGAAGGTACTACTTGGAATATTAAATTGAACTATGCTCTATACTTCCACACAATGCGTTTTTATTATTTATATGTCATTTTATTTTGATATTAGAAACGTTGCCTCACATGTATGTACCAATATATCAGGCTACCGTATTATAAAGCACACTCATACTGCTACAGAATGATAGAGATCTCTTCTCAATTTCAGAAAATCCACTTTCAGAGGTTGCCTGGCATTTTTCTTTAGAGGAAATGGGGAAATACAAACTGTTCCAGGAATTTTATTGGGATGTTGAAGAAATAATGGTTTTGAAATCTGGCAAGCTAAATATTCGTGATCGTTCTGGAAAAATTCACACACCAAGATGCAAGACATGGACTCTGGCAAAGGCGCACGCTCAGGTGAAAAGCTGAATAGTAATCCTGAACATATTGTGGAATTTGACTAGACTTTAAAGATAATGAGCTCGATTAGAAGATTTTTGCCTCTGACCAATAGTTTGCCATATGTTCTACAGGCAATTTATATATTGAATTAATAAATGCTTTCTAAAATGATCGTTGGTTCAGCGTATTCAATAAACAAACAATAATTTTTATTGCAGGTCCAGTTGACATTCTTCGTGCCAGGATTATCACATAATCATGTACACTTTGTTTTGCCGTCCGTAATAGCTTATGAAACCCGTAAAAAACTTCCCGAAACATCGGTGTTACGACAGCTCATTGAGCCACATACGAGATTCACTCAATATATTAACCATCAAGCTCTCAACGTAAGTAATGATATTTGCTTCTATATTAAATGGTGGGGATTGGAATTGGATGCAAGAATGAGCAAAACTGACTAGGAGACCGCATTCCTCATTAAAGTTAAATCCCAGTTTTTTGTCGGTATTGCGACATAAACATCTATCTGTATAATCCGAAACCGAACTCTACAATCTAATCTCTAAATGACGTACTTGATTTTTAGAAAAGTATTTCATCCTGCAACACCAGAAGTTTTTCTGATCGTCTGTTTCGCCCTTGGCTGTGCATGCCAGTTGATAACGATGAATTTATTAAAGGAATTGCGAAAAAGTGCGAGCAGTTTTACTCAAAAAATACCTGCATGGTTCCAAAGCTTGAAGATGATATTCCATATCAATCATTTTTGAAAATGGTAATGTCTTTACATCTTTTGATTTAAAATACATCTATTCGTTAGTGTTCAGTTAACACTTCAATATGCTCGCTCCAGCTTATTAAATATCAAAACATTTTCATTGCGTAGATTGGTTCAGTCAGCAAACATATCTCATTTAAAATGGTTGCGAATATTTTTTTTTGAAAAATAAAAATAAAATTCTTCTATGTTTTCAGTACTACGCCATTTTTCACAAATACGTCAGCGATTTAGCACCATTTCTCAAAAGCGATTACGAGATTTTACGAAAAGCAATGGCGGAACATATTCCCGGAATACTCAATCAAAATATGATCGATGTTCTAGTTGGATTTCTTTGGAACTCCGCTGTTGTTCATTTCGCCGACCACGAAACGTATCTTCAGCAATGGGCACGAAAATATGGTTGCATGGGCATTCGGTAAGTAAGTTAGCCGCGTTTGCAATAAAAATGAAATCTAATTCTCTAAAGGGTGTTAAAGATAACTAATGATACGCCAAATTAGGCATTCACAATCTCATTAAGTTAAGATTTCATTACCAATACATCGCAGAATCGTTTCATTTTAAAGTTTATGGCACACGTAATACGTAAGATATTTGATCGTAAGCAGAAGACGTATATAATTAGTTATTCAGTTTTATTGTCTATAGTCCCCTATTATGCTTATTTCTCGCATGTTTATCAATATCCACTACTTGTTATCCAGAATCCCTCTCGTGACACCGCATGCTAAAGATAAAGAAGTTGAAGTCAACACGATAAGTTCGGGAAAAATCAACGGATCTTTCAACTCAGACTGCATTTCTGCATATAAGAAAAATCACCAAAACAGCAACGATGTCATTATTGAAACATACCATTATTCAAAAGAAGATGGTTCACGATTTTTCCGTTCAATTGACATATGCAGGACGAGATGTTTTTTACGTACGTTTGTGCAGTACAATGAAAATCCGAAAGTCAATATGAAACTATTTGATACTGAGTAAGTGCACCTAGTTTTCAAGCATACAGCGATATTAATCGTTTGTGCTTATAATTAAATGTGAACGATTACAGCGCATTGTTTCAGTAATTGAAAATACTATTTGTTTATATCTAGGTATGCCTTTACGGACTCGGCGGTGAAACGTACTGCTGCCAACTTTTTGATGGAGTTACGCGACCTGAGCTCAATACAGCGACAGCGGGGCGAGGCAATTGTGAAGGGTGAAAATTTCATACGAAGCGTCTGTTTCTGAAGATGACACAATGTAGCTTTCACACGAGAACAAACAAGTTCCGAGCGTACGCTGCTCGTCGTAGTCTGGAAATGGGAGTGCAGCTATATTCTGGAATGATCAATCAGAATCAATGATTGACACTGACAGAATAGAATCATTCAAACTGGCACTTTCGACATCCCATAGATAAAAAATGCCTGTTGAGGGCTAACCTAATAAATGTATTTTCTTGCCACAAAAAGCCAGCAATTATTGACAACAAGTGATCGTTAGAGGCAGCGTGTATGTGTGTATATATATATGCTTATTGCTTACCTATTTGTGATGCAAAATGCTGAATGAATATAAAATAAATTAACGAGTTTAAATACAATATACACGGAACTGTGAGTAATATATATGACGGGTAATGATCAGACTATTTTGCAGGGCTGTGGGCTTGCGGAAGCGTTAAATGAGCAAAATGCAGCTGATTACCGTTTAAAATGCTACCAACTAGACACGCGGACAGGCTGTTAGATTGGTCAGTGTCATATAAATGCAGTTGGTTGTTAATACCAGTGAGCTATACATAGACAAGGTAGAGATAGATACCCAGCGATCACTCGTAAAGCTGCGAGTGAACTGGCAATAATAGCAATACCAAACAAATTGCATTTGACAGGCAGTATGATTTCACCAGAAACTTTCTTTACAAGAATTGGAATAATGGAAATTTAAATGCCAATAAACCGTCTATCTTCAATGCCGTCAGTGACATTTTAAAGTGTTGTTAACTTTCTAAATTAATAATAATATCACCGTTGATTACAATGGATGTTTAGAAAGCGGATATATTGAACATTTAACTACTTTGGTATTACCCGCATTATATCTTCACTTCTTTTTCTTAACAAAGAACAATATTTTTCGCTTGCGGCATTCCGACTTTCGCTTGCCAAACAGTGTAGCTTGTGACACATAAGTATTCTAGGAACAAGAAGGATATAATGTAAAAATAGCAGCGGTAAAAAGACAGTGTATATTAAAAGACAACTAATAGCACCAAATGGAGGTTTGATTATTCTTTGCTAAAGATCTAGTTCATGACGAAAAAATTAGAATTGCTGAAACTTTATAAGACTCTCAAGAAATATTTACTTTTCAGCAATCGAAATGACCACATAATGGACAGCTACAAATATGTAGATAGATGGTGTGAAGCGCGCGAGAACCACTACATGTTACTTATGAAACTATCCAATGAGGAAAGTAAGCAGTTAAGGGAATGCGAATATAGGCATATTACTGCTGTAGAACAGTATGCAAGCCCATTTTTGTACCCAAATTCCAGGTTAGCATTGCGATATTTAATCCCAGCTATTAACAAGCGCGATAATTAGCTAATAAGAGCAATTAAATTCTGATCGACTTCCCGAGTTCCGATTAACTCGATAGTCTTGAAGCACCTTAGTAAGGAGAAAATTTTAGTTAAATCTATGTCATGTCTGCTGCGTGCGGTAACTGTATAGAAGGCCAAAACGAGCTATCGTATGCGAAATCTTTTTTGGGACGGGAAATGATGTTGCAGTCGTAAATTTAACAGTAACGAATACTGTAGTTTGATATACAGCTGATTCAAATCCAGACGGATTGTAAAGTTAGTTAATAATGTATATGTATTGATAGACAATCGATTTTCAAGTGTGGCGTGGCGAATAAACAATGTCACTTTCAGCGTGTCGGTACGTGTGATTACTTACTTCCGCAGAAGTCGGTTAATTAACATCACTGCAAAGGGACGTTAAGAGTTCGTGTTTATCTGTGCCTTATATATTATTATGTATTTTCGAATTTTAGTTACACTATATGAAAATGTAGTGTTTCCAGGTTATGAGGACCAAAATGACCCCAACCGTTCATTCAGATATCGAGTAAAGTTTTAACATACCTATTATACAACTGTCTATTTCACAATTACATATGATCAATTGCTGTGTCAAATCCGTTTTATTTATACAAAACCGTGGACGCACGTACACAGATATTTCATACACCTAGGGTGAATATGTCGAATTTTGTCAAGTCACGAGGGTATGATATATATCTCCCGCAATGGACAATTTACAACTTTCAAATGTTTTTTTTTTTTTTGATGCATAGAATAGATTAAGGTATTATATTAAAAAAAATCATCTGTTACTACCACTCTCAGATTGTACAGAGGCCTCAGGAGACTCAAACGTTTTCAAAAGTAAGCAAACGTGGTATGACTTCCTTCGTCACTCTGCGACCCACTGACATTCTTTTCACCAGCCGATTGATTGAGGAACGATTTTCTTGTGGCCCGGATAATGCTGGAATATACCATGGCTCTCGACCTATTCACGACATCATCGATGACGTCATTATAGGTATTAAAAACCTTGATGATTTTCCGTCAATCAAAGTCTTCTTGCACGACCATCAATGGCGAACCATTTGTAATCGTCGACTATATATGATGAGAGTTCTCGAATGTGAAGGAATCATTGACTTTATAAGGGTGCGGATTATTAAAAGTCCGGACAATATCTGTATAAATACCAAAGGCGAGGTCATTAAATTAAACAATGGAACGCGTAGCCGGAAACACTGGAAAAAATTAATTTGTATACCGGGCTTCAATTGCTGTTGCGGCCTTTTCGTGAGACTTCTTATGTTTATGTGGGCATTCCTTGGATCGCTTTTTTCTGTAAATAAGAATACCAAGTGACTTCCCGGCAGAGAAGCTTTGTCCGCCAAAAGACATTTCAGGTCAATATATTTATGAACATTTTTCTTGATTGACTATGCACAAAATTACAAATATCTGTGAGTGTTCGATGAAAGGCTCCCTCGATTCATTTGGGCAATTTCTGTTATATCTTGCTAATAGTAATGTGCATTGTTCGAGGTCTGAGTTATCAATCTGTCGTGCATGGGATATCTTTATTTTCAAGTGTATGTGAAATTATATATTTAATTTTATGTGAATTTATTTGTTGCGTTTGGAAAATATTTAAATCATAACCTTTTTATTGTTTCGTACTTGATTGAGTTCTTTTACGGGTATTTTGTGAATACGTCATATTTACAGGAATACAGATATGCGATAAGAACTGTGGACATTATGAAAGTTATCCCATGAGATTGAATAATTACGAATAATATTCACCACAGGTGTTAAATTTCAATAGTATTTCAAGCAGAACTGAAAACCGGCAGAAATTCAATGATCAGACTGACTGATGATTATGTAACATCATGTGGTTGACTCGGTTACACCAACATCAGAAATTACATAAGAACTCAGTTTAAATTAGGGGTGTGCGACATTTTTGTCGATGGGCCATTTAACGAACTTCAGACATCTAGCCCGGCCACACATAAATTTAGATTATCCATGCGGAAAAGACGAGAAGAAAATGCGGCTATTGCTCAGGCTTACAGTAATGACGGCACGGGGCAAAATGACAAAATATTTAAAGCAGCGACACGAGCAGCAAATATTATGTGTTTTAACCACGTGAGCGACATTTTAAACAGTACCTGTCGGATTTGGATTTTATGCTTGATGGGGTAAATCTGAGTGTTGTTGAGGACATACAAAATGGATTGGCAGGCCGGGTTGTGGCCCGCGGTCCACCTGTTGCACATCTCTGGTGTAAATGGTTTGATCATATCCTTGAAATAACACTCCGAAACTCCGAACGATTTGATGCAAGCAGAGCCGTTGCTTGATTCGAGTTGCAAAATTCGCACAGAATAGCTTTATATGACATCCAAAACTGACATTCGTTAGGCAAATCGATTACAAATCAATCAAATCTTCATTTCAAAATACTCATATGGCACAAGTCTGATCCCGATAAATTGATAGAAACAAGAAATAATTTTTCTTATCCAAGTTTTAAAAATACTGCTGATAATGGGAGAACATACATTATATATTGTATCTATATTATTACTTGGCAAGCGTGAGAATATATCAAAATATTTAAATTGAAACTATACGTAAAATTGTCCCACAACAATATATATAAATCAACCTAAGGGCATTTAACAGTGAATGTTCGCTTTATTATGGAATCCTGCAAGTTCGTTGAAATTCTGGCGGCGTCGTGTTACACTAGCGACATCCAGGAACGACTGACTTCCCCACCAAATTTATTGCTTCTTTCGTGGGTACCAGCATATACAATTTTGAGAAATAGCCTGTTTACTCATATAGTATATATGAAAAATTTCAGAATTATTCTACTTTTTCTGGTTTACCTCAATCTTGGATTACACGTGTAACCTCATCTGAGGTTTCTTCTAACTTTTCTTTTTCGTTATGTTTCTAACATGTTAACTAAAGTTCGCCAACCCAATCAAAATTAGGCTCAAAAATATACTTTAACCTGGGAAGAAAAATTCGCAGCTTTCGAATTCATAAAACTGCGAACACGCAAGAAACTTCTGGAAGTATTCCCACCTGACTCCTGCAACAAAAGGGTAAGTTTTCGCCGTTTCTTGTGAACAGCTGTAGATAAAGCGATCGCCGATTAACCCGCAAGATTACATCGACAAAAAGAGCAATCGCTTTGGAGCGAGTATGCCATTTACAATTTGTTCGCACGTCTACTACGGGTTAAAAATAGCATGCAGAGTAGTCCAATAACTGCGAACGAGTTATAGTATATATAGTGTGATGTAAAACAGACTTCATCATAAACATGGATTTGTACAGAGTTGAGTTCAGACTGTTACATAACAAAAACAAATATTTATGGAAAAGGATTGTGAATACTCCAGTTTAATATGTTTGTCGAATGTCACGTTGCTTCTGTAAGGTAGCATTGGTTTCAGAAGAGAATTAGTGACATTGATATCTCGTGGTTGCTACCAGGATAATCCATAGTAACCTATATAGCAAGTAACCTATATAGCAAGTAACTAGATGAAATAGATCGCCTTTGAGAATCATCGTATGCATAGTAAAATAGGATTAGTAATACAACATTACCATAATTGCTTTAGCTGTTTAGTCAAGTAAATAAAACTAAGGAATCTATTTCAGAATTAATTCTAATTTGAACAAATTAATAAATATCACCAACTGTTAAAAATGCCTCTGCAAGGAATCGAAGTTGTTGATGTTGCTGGAAAAGGACGAGGCCTGTGTGCCACACAAGAGTACCGTACCGGACAAGTTGTAATCCGATCAAGACCATATGAACACGTGATATTCAACGAGCAAGCTGATAAAGTTTGTCATCATTGCGTCCGGCAGCCAATCAGTGTAAGTAACTCAACGTTATATCCAGTGCAATCAGATACTATTATCTATGAATATAACAGGAGTAATAGTTGCGATGTTAAGAAAGCATAGTCTGAAGTGATAAAAATGCTTTTACCTCAAGCTAGAATTTTTCACGGTACTATTTCTGTTCCTGAAGTGACCCACTGAAAAATCACACCCCCAAACATGCAATTCCAACTAGTGTAAGTCCAATTATTTTTCTACTGTAGAAAGGACCAACTCACACTCCACCACCCCTTCTGAAATGCGGCAGCTGTAAATTCGCGCGCTATTGCAATAAAGATTGTCAGAAAGCAGCATGGGAAGCACATAAACCTGAGTGTGCGGCCATCAAAAGGGTATTTCCAAACAAAGCGTCTGATCAGACCCGTCTCGTGGCAAGACTGTTTTGGAGAAAGCAGCGCGTAGCGGAGAATAAAATTCAAGAAGATCTCCCGATTCTAGTAGAGGTGAGCAATTTAGGAGTCATGCCGAAGCTAATTGAAACAAACAAGTTGTTGAAAATAATATGACGAATACTTGTACTAAAGTTGACCAGGCATACCTCTTCTATTTACAACATATTTTACTAAAGCCAGACGGCACACTGGAGAATACCAGGCCATGTTATAATGAATGCCAATTGCCAAGTCATATTAAAATTTGTTCACAACAAGATTCTGCTTCCCGGCAAGAAATTAATGACTTTATCTTTTCAAAGCTTCCTCGTGGCCTAGACCCAAATCACGTAAAACAAAACTTACGTAGATACTATTGATCTGCCTGATATATTCTAATCGAATTTGATCTCTTTCTTGGTATAGGAGTTGGAATCTCATGTAAAACAGCGGACCAAAGAAGAAAAGGAACAACTTGATAATCGAGTTTTTAGTTTCGGCGATTACGTCACGTATGAAGCCATGCCAGAAAGTGACGAAGTTATATATCAGTGGTTCGGTGCCGTTGATTGCAATGCTATTAGGTATATAAAATATTATATGACGATTTTATATCATATATATCTATTTTTATTGCCAATATTAAACTCAAGTAATCATATTTCGTTCCAGTTTGAATGATCAACGAGGGTTATCTGTAGTCGGAGTTGGCATATTTCTGGATGTAGCATTGCTAAATCACGATTGCAACCCTAATTGTGTTGCTGTAAATAACGGTGCCAAAGTTGAGGTACGTGAAAAACTTTTGTTCAAATTTTTCAAAGATATAGACCAGTTAAGAAGCATGTACATTCTCAGTTGAAAATAGTTAATTCTAAATTTCATTTTTCTCTGTACTGAGTATTATAAAAAGTTACTATTAGCATAACAACGTATAGCCTACTAAAATCTACTTACAGGTTCGATCACTTCGCCCAATAAAGCCGCAGGAAGAACTATGCATATCTTACATAGATCCGATAGACACTACTCCTGGACGACAAGAAAAACTGAAGAATCAATATTATTTCGATTGCAAGTGCGAAGAGTGCGAAAATGGTTAGATAATTGTACTAAAATACTTCTAACGATGAATGCGAGGAATATGAGATGCCTTTCACTTCGATCCTTAGTTGATTTACAAAGTTTTTGATTTCATTTATGTTTAATGCTTTATTTCTGTTATAAATATATTTTCTATTTAGGGAGTGAAAGAGAAGCTATGAAAAGTGCTCTGCTAGATGAAAATATTTTGAAAGAAAAACCTGAAGCTGAAAACTATATTATAAAAATGTCAACAGAAGCATTAAAGCGCATGGAAAACACGAAAAAGGTAATGCAGATTTTTTAAAAACCCTTTTTTGGTTTTGCGCTCATGTATGATTCTTGAAATAGAAGAACATCCTTTCCTAAGCGCTTGCGATTGGGTTCATTAAAATATTGTTGTCTATGTTTTACAATGTATCCATTTTCATTCAATTTTGTTTCATTTTGATATATTCAGTCAAGAAACTTCGAAAGACTTTACAATCAAGCACTCGGAGCTTTAAAACAACAAGATTCTGTTATTGCGGATTCACATGTGTTGAAGATAGCTGTATTGAGTAAGTAAACTGATAAATTGTATTGTTAAATTTTCGAATCTGATACTTATGCAGTTGCAATATGATTAGACGAGATATCAATTTGCATCGGTTTATATGTTTCGTAATTCCTACTTTCAATTTACCTATACATATATTTAACCATTTATTGAAACTTTAACAACTTTGTATTTGTAACTTCAGATCAATGCGTCGAAGTTTCATCTTTCCTCCGACGTCCAGATGACTCATGCATGTACGCACGACGTGTAGCAGATGCATATGAAAAAATTTTGCCAGCTATCCACCCTGTTTTGGGAATGTACTTGATGAGGGTATGTATATGGAAATAGTACCAGATAACATTTTAATGCTTATGCAAAATTAGAATTTTTGTCATATTCCTTTGCATCGAAGTTTACTGTGGTGGAAGGTAATCATGTCTGCAACATAAATAAATAACGCGTGGCGCAAGTATAGTATTTAATTTAGTTTTCGATTTATTCAATGATAATTCAATTTTCTGGCAGCTTGGTGTATTGCAATGGCAAACACAGATGAAGGAAGCGTTCGAAACACTTGGAAGAGCAGCTGGAATTATATCGGTAGGTTTTTGCTTCAGAACTTTGTTTCAGATATTGATTCACTTTAGTAACTATAAAGAAATTTACTGAAAACACAAACAATTTTAAATATCAGGTTTCTAACGCTTAAGCCCCATTTTCAGAAAACGCATGGAGACGGGCATCCTCTTTTCTTGGATATTGTTGATTTGATGAGACAGTGTCACCATGAGATGCAAATGAGTCCGGAGGTGCAGACTAAAATGAAAGCTGTCAGAAAAGAAGCAAATTTGGGAATTGGAAAAGTCGGATTGCCAAGCAATTGAAAACCATTTCTACTCCTCAATAATACGCCTGATCGCCACTTTACTTGGTCAACCAAATGAGACAATAAAACAATTGGTGGTTTAGAATGTACATATATATCTGACCTAACATGTGATATTTCGTTATTTACCACATACAGGTGGTAACTGGTACCACAGGTCGCATTTATTGCAAAAGCGAGTTTCACGTTTTTTGTAGCCTCTTTGGTGGCAAAAAAAGCTTTGGGTTATATTTATTTCGATGGCGCTAATACTAGACGATATACTTAACGCCGCTGAATTTCAATTTGAATAATTGTTGCCTATTTATGATATTTTATGTAGTTTTGTTTTCTGTACATCTTTGTTGGTCAATATATTTAGTAATTTATGAATATTTGTAAATACTGATAAATGATATCAAGAACAACAGTGAAAATTAACACAATCAATAAAACTTGTTTATAGAAAAACTTGTTCATTATTTACGAATTAGCAGAATTCCTTTCATTGATACTTCGTGGCTTCATTGAGGGCAAAACTATGATTTGCATTTTTTACGGTCGGAGTGTTTTGCTGCTAAAGAACTTGTGTTAGTATGAGAGAGATATATTATATTTACATATGTGCCACTTCGGCATGCGATCTCACTCGCTTAACGTGATGCCACTCTTTGGTATGCGTTTAATCTCATAAAAACATTTTTTTTAGAATTCAGTTTTCAACTAAATTCACGGAGATGACACGACCACAGAGATCGCATACCGAAGTAGCACATTTGCATAGTATTTTTGAAACAACGTAGATACAATTCCGACTTTTTTTATTTAAATAGATAAGAGTTTTGTCACAAAACCTGATAATATAGTGAATTCGATATCCTTCTCACCACAAGTGCTAGCCGCTAAGTTTAAACTTTTATGATCGCGGTAGTAATTGTTTTCACAAACGTTTCGCTACCAAAGATCAAACGAGAATATCGGTCAGAGACCGAAGACTTATCGATCGAAAGTTAGGGGATCCCCCAAAACAGAAACTGCGGTTTCGATTCGAAAAATTCTGCAAACCCGAACTGGATTGTTTTGATTAGTTTTCAGCCAATATCAGAAATGTAGGAAACAATAGCCAACTCCCCATGTCGTCGAAATACTACTCGAGGAAATACTTTTATGAAGAATTCTGCAAATCCGAACTGGATTGTTTCGATTAGTTTCCAGCCAATAGCCTATTTCTGTATTTACCAATCCTATAGTTTGTGTCAAATACAACGGCGCTAACCCAGGTTGCGACGGCTATTCAAACACAGCCTAGCGATATTTTGGTGAGGAATTCTGCAACCCCGAACCTGATTTAGGGATATGGACATTGCTTAAACTTTAAGGAGTAATTATAGGTAACGAGATACGATCTCGCGGCGTGTATCCTTCGCTCTGACTCAATAGGGTGGAAAATTTCTCGAAGGAAACTTGCGCATCGCGACGACGTCAAAGTTACAAGAGAGATATGGACAAGGCTCAAAGATTAATCACGAGATACGATCTAGCGGTGTGTATCCTTCGCTCTGACTCACTAGCGTGAAAACTTGCGCATCTGATACGCACACACACATTCAGCGCGTCTCGAAAATCTCTCGATTTGTGAAAATCCAGATCTCTTCATCACTAATTAATTAATAACTCGCTAATTATACGACATAATTCATCCAAAATCAATAGGCTTCTGGTCCGAGATATGATGAATGCACATGCAAAATTTGGAGCAGATTCAACCACGCCTTCGTGAGATATCGCGTGCATCTAACAGACACACAGACAGACAGACATACATACAGACAAATACCTATCAATATACTTACCGATCTTAAGATCGATAAGTAACAAAACTTTTAAGTCTTATTGAAGATTGCAGTTTCATTGGCGGGGAATTCTTCATCGCTGTAACACAATACGTGTAGTTATGCCTGCGAGGCAATAAATGCAGAACGATGATTTTGTATTACGCTTCATGTTACAGGATAGTATTTACTTTGGGAAAAGAAAAATACACTTTTGCGAAACGACCCTTAACGGTGAAACAGGTACGAATTTAAAAACAATTAACTGTATGGAATAAAGGGTATTAGAGTAAAAAATATTTTACAAAATCCGAAGCTTATCGCCAAATACCTCTGGTTAATTATAGAAAACTGTATTAGAAAAGTATATTCAATTTTGAAGGGATTATACCTGGAGATCTCAACGGGACAGCAAGACAACGCGTCAGTTTTATGTTACAAATTTTATTCGAGTAAATCTTTCTTTACCATGAGTTCAAGTTCATCAGACCGCGTTACCATTTCAAAACGACCACGTGGCATTCATTTCACTAAACGTTTTATTCCGCAAAGATTCAACTCCGGACTGAATGCCCATGGAGAATACGAGGGGAGCTTAGGAATTCATGCGATAGTTGATTCAATCAAAGAAGGGATCGAAGATGTTTCTAATTTCCCAACGATCAAAGTTTTTCAAAGTGACGGCTGTTGGTGGACCTTGAATAATCGACGATTGTACATGTTTCGTGTTTTGGAATATGAAGGCTACATTGAACGTATCAATGTTGAACTTGTGAATAGCCGGAATCATGCCCGATACTATGATGGAAAACGAGTGAAATTTGTTGATCCCATTTGCACAAGAAATCACTGCTTTCCAGAAAACGATATTTCACTTGATAAGGAAAGTCAAGACTGTTCTTGTTCTTGCTTACTTTATGGTTTTGGGTGTTGTGTTGCAGGGGTATTTTCCATGTTTTGTCTGGTCTATGTATATATTTAGATGAAAGTTAGCAATCCACTAATGACTGGGATGAATTCGACTGACTCAAACTTTATTATCAGTCATTCCGTAAATCTATATGTACGGTTCGTTATTCAAGATTATGGAAAGTTAGGAGTTATTCTGAGATGTCGCTATATCAATTAATTTTTCTGTTATTTATCGTTATTTTCGGATTTTCAAAATTAAGTTTAAATTATAAGCTATTATTCAACAAAGCAACATTCAAGCAAAATGTCAAAATTACCAGATGGAATATTTTTAAGGCCGCGGGACATTCGTTTTACGAAGAAATACATATCTTCAATGTCTGAATCAGACATACACGAGGCTATTAATTTAGTCAAATCAGATCACGAATGCGTTTTCAAATTTCCAATGATTGAAGTATTTCAAGATGGTGACTGTTGGTGGAGTTCAAACAATCGGAGATTGTACATGTTTCGTGTTTTAGAATATGAAGGATTCATCAAACGCATTAAAGTCAGAATAGTAAATGCTCGATATCATCCACCAGACTACGACGGGAAACAAGTTCAGTTTCAGGATTCAAACAGAACTCGAAGTCATTCATTTGGATACCGTGGCCGGACTGTCCAATTTATTTATGGATTATTCTGCCTTTTATTTGGAATGTGTTGCATGTATTTTATTATGCTCGCGCTCGCGTTATCTCGGGGATTTCCAGATTTTGATGCATAGATGAAATTACATTTTGTGCCTTTCATTTCCTCTAAAAGCGTTGATAAAATAAAACTGAGTAGACAGAAACCGTACCCACCTACATCATTTTCAAAAGTTTCCCATTTGTATTTTTTTTTAGTTTGCTTGTACTAATGGGACCTTCACTGTTATCTATTTTCTATTTTCGAAACAATTCTCCAAACATTGAGGATACTTCCTTATCTGTATTTTCTAGGTCGCGAGAACGGGTTTTTACAAGTTCTCCTGAAGATCGTCCTGGCGGAATTGGTCATGTTGTGCTAGTGACATAAATAAAATCAAAATGAAAAAATGTTAATTTTTTTTTCAGATATATTACAAAAGCTATCAAGGCAAGCTCATTGATTTTCTTTCAATAAATTTACCATGAACAAGGCTCTTGCATGCATTTGCCGATTTTAGAACTTTTTGAATAAGCTTTGAATGAAGTGACAAAACTTCTATTTCGCGGTTACAGATGGCATAGTAATTGTAATAAATTTGAAACTAATGCAAAAAATATATATTGATATGAGTAATCTACCCGGTGTATGACTGTATAATACAGGTCAGCGTCTTAACGATAACATTTTCCAAACGATTGAAGATGTGATATAATCATCAGTTTTCAAAGTGCGAGCTTTCAATAGCGCATGACTAGTGACCATGGTTTGAAGAAACAAAATACGAGAAAATCGGTCAGAGACCAAAGACTCATCGATCGAAAGTTAGGGGATCCCCCAAAACAGAAACTGCGGTTTCGATTCGAAAAATTCTGCAAACCCGAACTGGATTGTTTTGATTAGTTTTCAGTCAATATCACAAATGTAGGAAACAATAGCCAACTCCCCATGTCGTCGTCGAAATACTACTCGAGGAAATATTTTTATGAAGAATTCTGCAAATCCGAACTGGATTGTTTCGATTAGTTTCCAGCCAATAGCCTATTTACCAATCCTATATTTAGTGTCAAATACAACGGCGCTAACCCGGGTTGCGACGGCTATTCGAACACAGCCTAGCGATATTTTGGTGAGGAATTCTGCAACCCCGAACCTGATAGACTGCAGTGGTTCTTAATCTTTGTGAGCCTGCCGAACCCCTGCGCTATTCTGCAAGCTCCCGCCGAACCCTATTGTACTGAACGGTTGAAATTAGAAGCCAAACCGTAACGTCATAAAGCGGAAGCTAATTCTTGCAAGGTTATAGAATATGAACATTGTGATGAAACCTCAGATATCAATAACCAAGTGGGAATAACCATTATTTTGTCACAATGACGTTGACGGCAGAATGAGCAGATGGTTTTTGTTGTATAAGTTATGCGGGTGAACCGGCGAAAACTGATAAAAAATAACTTTGAAAATCCGAAAGATGATAATATACCCCATAAACGTTGGTAGTTCAAGCAATTTGTTCTCAAACTTTAAACTGCGCTGAAATGCGAATAAAATCGTTTGTTTTATTTTACAGAAATAGAGATAGGATTAATTCGGCGCCATATCGAGGTTGTCCTGAATGGATCATAATAATTTCGGGTAAAGCTCTGCGATAAACTATTCCTTGTCGCAAATTTATCACCTAGTAAAATTCAAACACGCTATGATTTTGCATTCATTCATGTACAATTACTGCCTATCTTCGATTTATCCGTAAAATTGAGTTAAATTTTATTAGTACGGTAGAATATGAATAAGGGTAACACCAATTAATTGTTCCATTCAATTGTTCAAGTCATTAGTAATTAGTCATCATGAACTATAGTTATTTTTGCATAATTAGTATGCAGGGTGATAAAAAAAAGTCTCATAATATGCAACTGTTTCAGAGCACCTTCGTCGAACCCCTGGAACAGCTCCACCGAACCCCAGGGGTTCGATGTTCGATGTTCGCAGTCTCCGATGTTGCCCATTCATCACGGAATTCCTCAAGGTAGTGTGTTAGGTCCTCTTGGTTTCTTAATTTACATAAATGATCTGTCTAACTGCTCCAATTTCTTGAGCAAATTGTTTGCTGATGATGCTTGCCTGCTCTACAGTGCAAAAGATCCGAGTATTCTCCAAGACAAGGTGAACACTGAAATGAATAAAGTATATGATTGGATGACTTCCAATAAACTTACTGTGAATATACAAAAATCCAAAGTCATGTTATTCGGCCACAAATCTCTAGCCAGACATGCGAACATCTCAATCAAAATTACAGGTCTCCCTCTTGAAATTGTTCACTCTTATAAATACCTTGGCCTCACTATTGACAATCAATTAAAATGGAACTTTCATACCAATGAATTGCATAAGAAATTGTCAAGATCAGTCGGGATCCTAGGGAAGTTAAGGCATTATGTAAACGACTCGACTCTGCGAACAGTATATTTGGCTCTTTTTCAATGTCATATCCAATATGCCTTAGCTGCATGGGGTTCCGCTACCAAAACAAACTTGAATAAATTAGAGATTTTACAAAATAGGGCTGTTAGAATTCTCTGTAGGGCATCTATTCGTTCTAACCTGAATATCCTATACCACAAGACCAGGGTTCTAAAATTGTCCGACATCTATAAACTAGAGATTTCTAAACTTATGCACCAATTTAACAACAACCAATTGCCCCCAGCTTTTGCTGACTATTTCGTCATGCTTAGTAACGTGCATGAGCATAATACACGCTCATCGACTAAATCCAATTTATTTGTCCCTCGATTTTCATCAAGCAAATGCCAAAACTCCTTGAAATACAGGGGAGTTGTAATTTGGAATAGCATAGGTCAAAGCCTTCGTCATTCATCTTATGACACCTTTAAATTTAAATACAAAAAATTCATGCTTTCCCTTTACCATTCTGCTGCCTTTTCATCCGATTAAAGTGGATCCAGAACTTTCTTCGCCATTGCCAGCTCCACTGTCGACTTGATCCAGTGATCCAGAGTACCTGAAATATATAATTTTGGAATTTATCGTGTAATCAAACAAATATTTTTACCTATGTATGTTACATGGACCCAGCCTTACAAAAAGTATTTACTGTATTTTTAATTTCACCCAATATATCAAAGGGCGAGCTTTTGCTAAAATATTGACCTAAATCAAAAATTTTAGGTATCATTCTCTTATTAAATGACAATTGTCCTGCTATATATTTACAATCAGTCATGCTTCCAATGCAAAGCTCATATTGTCTTTTCTCACCATGACCTCTTTATTACCTACTTACTACTATGAATTGTTTCTTTTTACATATTTGATTCATCTCTGATTGACCCACTGTGTGAATGAGAGGATATCATGTAAGAAGAAACCATGCATAGTTCATGCACTGTGATGTCATGTAATATAGTCAGTTATATATTGGTAATATTTGAGCCTGATCTAAGTTACTAAGATCTTGGTCTCTGGCACCCTTAATAACATCATTTTAATGTTAAACCATATTCGATTGTAAATTTTTTTTTTATTTTTATCTTTGTACATTTGGCATCGTTATGTCATAAACTGACTGACATTAGATTTTTAACAATCTACCTACCTTTGCTTTTTCCATGTTCTGTATGAAGTGGTTAGTTCCACATGAAATTTAATCCTACCTTGATCTTGTAGAATACCATTTATTCATTGATCATGTGTCTTCCAGTTACACACTGAAGTTCAATTTTCTTACCATAAAAGGTTAAATTATTTATGACTACCGGTACTACCGTTGCATGCATACCATACTACTGGTAGGCTTCCTGTTCGTGAAACTTCATTTTTACCATTGATACCTAAACAACTGTAGCCCTGCCTGCACCATACAATGTTCTACATACGACCACAGTCACTTCACAATGGTACCATTGTTACTTTACCTAAAAGCAGCTATCGTCATGGCTACTTAGATAATTGGTGCACGGAGTCGTTTCTTGTTTTGTTGTTGTTGAAACGCGAGATTACTGGGCATACCTGGTTGGAATGCCTTGACGTATTTATATTTATTTTCAAATTAACATATATATGATACTGTATATACACAGTTCGACTTTTTTTTGTTATTATTTCCTTGTTAGACTTGCTTATGGGTGCCGCTGCTCGATAACCAAATTTGGTTTCTCGCGGCTCCCCTCACCCTGAAATGCCTTTTTTTTATTTATTGCAATTTGTATATCAAGTGTGCATTTGGTATGGTGAGAAAATAAACTACTGATTACTGATTCGATCGAACCCAGTTTAAGAACCACTGTGATAGAGGGATATGGACATTGCTTAAACTTTAACGAGTAATTATAAGTTACGAGATACGATCTCGCGGCGTGTATCTTTCGCTCTGATTCAATAGCGTGGAAGATTTCTCGAAGGAAACTTGCGCATCGCGACGACGTCAAGGTTACAAGAGAGATATGGACAATGCTTAAAGATTAATCACGAGATACGATCTAGCGGTGTGTATCCTTCGCTCTGACTCACTAGCGTGAAAACTTGCGCATCGGACACGCACACACACATTCAGCGCGTCTCGAAAATCTCTCACTTTGTAAAAATCCAGATCACTAATTAATTAATAACTCGCTAATTATACTACATAATTCATGCAAAATCAATAGGCTTCTGGTCCGAGATATGATGAATGCACATGCAAAATTTGGAGCAGATTCAACCACGCCTTCGTGAGATATCGCGTGCATCTAACAGACAAACAGACAGACAACTTCGGTCTGCGATCACACTTGCTAATTGACGTTATCGCAATCGAAAGTGGCACCAATTGGTATGCATTTAATCTCATAAAGACATTCTCATAGAATTCAGTTCCTAACTAAAATCACTCTTAGCAAACAACCACCGAGGTCGCATACCAAAGTAGAACCTTTGCATAGTATTATTTCAAAACATTGTAGTTACATCTCCGACTTGAAGTTTTTCTCATTTAAATAGATCACAAAACCTGATAATCCTAGTGAATTCGATATCCTTCTCATCACAAGTAATCGGCAAATTTATACTTTAACGATCGCGGTAGTAATTGCTTTAACAAACATCGCACTTTCAAAGATCAATCGATTCCGACAAACAATACTTAAATGTCTCAATGGAGACTCCAGTTTCTTTGACAGAGAATTCCACATCGCTATACCACAGTATGTGTATAGTTATGTCTAGAAGGCAATAAATGCAAAACCAAGTCTTTTGTATTGCGCTTCATGTTGCAGGAGGTGACCGTACATTTGAACCCACGTACATTTGAATCCATACATTTGCACCCGTATATCCGCGGGTTCAATCTATATGAGGGTGCTAAAATCCACGGGTTAGGGTTAGTATGGGTTCAAATATCCGTAAAAACAATTCCATATAGGTGTAATAGTATGCAGGTGCAATTGTCGTGAATTCAAATTACGGGTTCAAATGTAATGGAATCGTTACAGTATTTACTTGATTGCGAGAGAAAAATACAGTTTTGCGAAACGAATTTTAACGCTGAAATAGATATGAATTAAAAAAAAACAATTACCTGTATGAAATAAAAGGTATTAGGGTAAAAACCATT